CAGGCTTCACATTCTTTAGCAGGAGATTTTTTTTTTTTTGTAGTGAATTGGATTTTATTTTCACCATGGTCAGCCTTTTCCTTTTTCTTTTTTTAACATTTATGGGGAAACACTTCTCTGTGGTGTTGATGGATCTGCAATATGGACACTGGACTTGTGCCACTAACAGGACTTTTGTGGTTTCGCCACCTTTCTGCAGGAGAAAGATGAAACAAAAAATTGTGGAAAAAAAGCGACGGGGACAATGAAGCTAAGGAAAGTTCCTCCTTGTCATGCAGTCACTAAGTAAGACTTGTGTGGATGTAGTGTAAGATAACCTAGCTGTCTTTACCAAGTGCAGTATTGTTGGTTTCATTTACTTGCATCCAGTGTCATAAGGCTGACATAACAGTGTTTAGACGTTGTCACGACGCCGGTCAACCGCTAATGTTATCATGCGTAAGATGTGGTATCTACCACACTCAAAACATCGCACATTGTTTCTTGAACGTAGGTGTTCATTTGATTTTGATTTTAATAAATATCATAAATTACATTAGCAGGTAGAAATGTCATTTTAAACTGGAGAATGCTATAAAACTGTATCTTTTATGACTTTGTGACACCCTCAGTCAATTGAGGTTGGTTGTTGTTTGAATTGTCTTTTTGTGTAACAAAAGTGGATGCTGTGTTTGGATGCCAGCAGGAAAGGGCTTGAAATCCCTAAACTTCTAAGATCATGCACAGACACGCTTTGAACATGTAGTGTCATGCAACCACTAAGTTACAATCCTAGAATAACACTCGTGCACAAAAAGTGTCAATGCAACACTAGATGTTTCACACAAACACTGAATATTACAGAAAAAGTGAGTTGTTTTACAAGCAACACAAACGGATAAAAAATGCACCTTACCACTCAATAGACACAATGTAAAATTGCTCGGAAATATGAGTCTTTTTATAGTATTTACATGTATTCAACCACTAACCATCATATAGAGACAATCCAAATGTTCGGATCTATGAGTCTGTACCATATAATGCAGTTGCATGACTGAAGGAAATATGAGGAAGAAATATTCTGCCTTTCTTAACGTTTTCATACAGTAACCTTTCTTTCTGTAAATGTACACTTTTTTTCTAGCGTATTCTTGTTAGCTTTCTATTGTATAGACTATAACAAATGAGCCTACTCACTCCTTTCTAAATGTGAATAAGAATGGTTCGTCATAAATTGATGTTTTGATAACAATTCTTATGGATTTTTTCATGTTTTTTTATGTTTTTTCATTTGTGATTAAGATGTTGTACATGTTAGAAAAATTGATTTTCTGAGCCTGGATTCAATGTTTTAATAATATATTAAAATGAACTTATCTGGTGCATGGTGTTGAGCATCAGTGCCTGAAGACAAAGAAAAAGAAAATCACTCGATCAAGGTATCAATGCATTTATCAAGATATGCTCTACAGAGGGGCA